GAAATCCTAACAAAACAGAGTACTCTTCTGCTCCCTCTCTGTTTTAAGGCAACTGATGTGTTAAAAGCACTTTTTGTTGGCAGCAAAGCAGCTGCAGCCTTCATCCCATTGCCGCTGCAGTGCTGGGCTGAATTAGACATTGCTTATCTGAGAGCAAACCCAGTGCTGACAGCGTCCGTCTCTTTGCTGCCTCTGCAGTGCCAGGAATTTTAACGTTTCTAATGACTTGCTGCAAGTTGTGCTGGCAGTCCGTGTATAGGAGATTCAGTCACCGAGAACACTTGCCTTGTTGGTCTTTTTGCTCTAAGAGAGATAGCTGCCAATAAAGTTCTGAAAAATAACTGTTACTGACTTTTTGGTAAATACCCTCAATGGTAGGACCTAGAGCAGCGTATTTCAGCTGATACCTGGCTGGTGTAATGTGCTTTTGCAGTGGGGTTCAGGAGCACCCCAGCAGTTGCACCTCTTCTACCCTGGGAGAGGGTGGATAAGGGCTGGAGACACGCACAGCGATGCCAGCAAAATTCCATTCGTGTGGGCACACCTTACGCTCTGTAAAAAGGAGGGTTGAATTTGGCCTGGTAATTCCTAAAATCATACATATTTATCAGTACTCAATCATAGCAGAATTTAGGAGACATCTGTATTTCTTGCATATAACAGAATGAAGATATACTGCTGTAATATTAAGTATAGCTCTTTCTCTTCTTTGACATACATAATGCATCTCTTCAGATGTCACATATCTCTTCCTAATGAAGTGTCAAAAATATTTACCTTCAGGACAAATTACAAGAATAGCAAACATCCTTACTCTGTATTAACGAAGTTGCTACATTAATGTCAGCAGCTCACAAGCTCTCTCTGGTGGTCCTCCAAAGCTGAACGTTGCACTGAGTGTTGTTAGGTTTGATCAAAGCATAAATAGTGGTGAAAAGGGGGGAAATGAAAACAACAAGGTTAAAATATTTGAAATTGAAATCTAATAATTATTCCAAGTTACTCAGGCTGTTTAGCACCTGGCTTTGCTCATCTGCTTGTAGCTGGCTTCTGGAATGGAAGTATCCTGAACTGTAATGATACTGAGGCCTGCGATTTCTCTGGAGTGCCAGTGATTTCTCAGAACTTCTGAAAATTAACTTGTCACCTGTCTGCCAGCTTTGAGCACCTGAACCGCAGGATTTTAGAGGCTGCATGCTTAAAATTTCAAAATGCCTCTTTCACTGGAGTTTCATGCATTAAAATTAGCTGCAAGACTTATCGTACCATTACTTCTAAGCAACTATGCTAGTGTGATGTTTGTTCAGCATGGCTGACTTTATTTAATGTCTGTGCCTGCAATATCGATACCGTAATTTGGATCAAAATTTGTTTGTCCTTAGTTACCCACATACACAGGCATGAAATACTGAAGATGAAATTGATTTCTGTTGTTCTTGAAACGACCTATTAAAAATCATATCTTTCTGTTGAGATAGAATTTGCTAATATTTAAAAAATGATAGGCTTATGGTCCAGCTGAACCAATCTAATAAATACATTTTAACAAAGAATTTGGCTTTTTATTGAAAGGGCGTAGTGCTCATCTCACAGGTAACCTCCAGAGAGCCTTTGGCAGTTACCTAGGTCGTCAGTGTAAATTCTGCTGCACTACGGTAAAGACCTCCAAGGAGTCAGATCAGATAATACTCTATTACCGCTGCCTATGTGCTTCATACCAAAACACACGCCACGCAGGGTTAGGAGAATTACTTACCCCTTAGTACCCCTCCAGCTCCATTACCAACGTGAAATTTGAGCATGAATAAGCCAGTGGTTTTTGCCACACTGACCTTTTTTATGTTGTTCATGGCTTTAAACTGAGCTATGTTGTACAACCTGCACTTGCCTGGTCTTAGATGCGTGCATTCAGTGTGATTTGTTAGGAGTGACACAAAGTGATTATTTTTCAAAGTTAGCTGCTCTGCATCACCATGAAGTAATTTCCGAAGAGATTTCCTTCTTGACTCTCGAGCAGCGGGTAGGTAGTCTTCTGGATGGGTTGTGCCAAATCCCCTGCTACAACAGGCAGAGGCTTCCTGATCTCTTTTTTTGAATACATGGAGGATATACACCTTTCCTAGAATACACAGGCGAAACTGTTCCAAAAAGCGCCAAGAGAAGCTACTTCGAATGCCTCTGTAACCTACAGTTAGCATATTTTCAAGGAGGTTTTTTTTCTGTTACCGTGCAGATTTTAGATGTTTCTTTAGCAAGAGTAATTTTAGTAGTATTAGTAATCATGTGAAATCTTTTAATTGTAATATTAAGATTTCCTTTGCATTAGGTTAAAAACAGGTACTTGAAGTGAAATATTTGATTTTTAGAAGTGTATGTGGTGCTTGTGCCTGGGTGGGGACTGTGGTGCTGCCCTGGACTGGGCACAGACAATTCTGAGACCCCCCACGGTCAGGCACAGCTGAGGTGGGGTTTTAGTTTTTATTTGTTTTTTATAATCCAAATCTATTTTATATGGCAGTGAATTAAATTAGTTTTCCTGAAGTTGAGCCTGTTTTGCCCGTGACAGTAATTGATATAGTAAGCTCCCTGACCTTATCTCAATCCATGAGCTTTTTTATCTTATTATCTCCCCTGTCCTGTGGAGGAAGGGGGTGAGAGAGCAGCTGGATGGGCCTCAGGCAGCTGACCAAGACCAACACACCACAACATGATAATCTGAGAATACATCAAATGAAACTGTGGTGGGAGTAAGAGTCCGATAAGGTCACTGAAGGTGGTATGGTTACTGGAGGAATGAAGGTAACCTGTTGTGTAATTCAGGCATTTATGCACTTCTTAAAAGGGCTGACTTCAGCTTGGTGCTGCAGTCGGACATTTAGCTCTCAAATAGTGAGGACTGTTAGCAGTCACATGTCAACCTGATTTTTAGGTACAGCCATTTCCTCGCTTCCCTGTGGTGTATAGCATTCCTTCACATTTATTTGTTCCTCCAGCAATGTACTTGTCAAAAGGAAAGCCAAAAATTAGCCTAGTCCTGAAAATCCACCTGTCAAGCTCCTGTCTGTGGGCTCCGTGATGTTTTAGGGTTGTAGTTACCCATGCCAGCTGGATAGTAGGAGTGGTCTGGAAAAGCTCACCAATAACTTTGCCTTTTGACTGACAGGAAGGCCTACATTTCAGAAAAATTTTAACCTTCCTCATCGTTCCTAAAAATGTTAATAAAGGGGTTTGAGATAACCCAAGGTGTAGCAATCTTGATTTTCACAGCCGTAAAAAAAAGCTATAGAACCAGAGAATAAAGGCACTTTAATACATTTCATATTTATGCTTTTCGTAGCCAAGCCAGATAAAGCGTTGTCAATTTAAAGGAAAACAAAATATTAGCAAAGGATGCAAAGACCATTTTAAACAGTTCTGTCTCTGTGATGAGTGGCAGCCAGTGTCACTGAGGGAGCTCATCTTTTGAGCAGCTCTGCAGCGCACTGGTGTGCTACGTGAAACACTTTTGCTACCTCTAGCTAAATCAGCCTGGATATGATCACTTAAATGCTGTATAGTTATATCTATTCCATCTGGTCTGATAGCAGTCAGAGTAGGATGGAAAGCACATACAGTTTTGAGTACCTGGATCATTCATCTGGCACAGATATCTCTTGATGTTGCACAATGCAATCAGTGTGTTGCATAGACTCGCTTGTTGTATCTTCATACCAGTATTCCCTGAAAATTATCAGAAAATGAAGACAAAATCGGAGTTACTAAGAGTTTCCACCTTATAGAACTTGTTCACTGATAGTGAGGAAAATTATTGATGATTAATGACCATCTATTGAAGGCTTAATGTCCTTGCACAATTAATGCATTTTTAGACAGCAGTGGCTTATCATGGTAAACAACTGTTCATGCTGCCATAAACCCTGACTAGACTGTGATTATATGGTTGTTTTGTTTTTAAGTCATGGTGAAGTATGGATTTTACACAGACCTGCACCTTTTCGACGTTAAGGGTGTTTTTCTCCACCAGTAGCTTAAGCCGCAGGCTTAAGAAGTCATGCCAATATTTTGATAAAAGCCTACTAATGGATGCTGAAGTGTTCCAGATGCTGAGGCAGTGCCCAAGCCTAATGAGTGGGCAAATGTACAGGTGGTAATTAGTTACCATGTCGCTGACCCCTTGCTAGACAGAGCACATGAAAGCATTATAAGGGTCCTCAGAAACTCTCCCATCAGAATATGGGTACTGCCTTTTGAACAGGAGAATGATTTGTGCGAAGGATTAGGTCTGGAGAGGCCAGAACAGGGCTATGCAGGGTTGTCAGGCACAAGGCAGGTGAAATAACGTCACTCCTGGGACTGCCTAATTGATGCAAGAACTGCGACCTAATTCTGCAGCAGTTCAGGGAGAATGCCAGGGCAGCTCTGTGTCCTACACTGGGTCTGTACATCAGGTCCATTGTGCAATATTGCGGGAATGCCAGTCAGTCCTTTTTTTTTTTTTAATAAAATAGGATTAAGTTACTCCAAAAATATATGTACTCTGTTAATGAGGGTGCAGAGTATCTCCAAGAGGGAGGACATTCTTGTTGTATAAATTCGTGAATGTATTGTTGGGTTTTTTTTTCCTTTGGTATTTAATTGTCAACAAGAATTTGGCAGTGGAGGTTTCTCAGAATTAAACTGTTCTTACCTGTTCAGTTTGTTGCAGGCTTGAAAACTCCATTTATATTGTACTTCTTTTTTTCCTTTTTTCTATTTTTTAGAGCAGTTTAGTGCCAACACAGGAGAAAGAAATTGCTGGAAAAGCAATACTGGATGCAACAAAGTTAAACGAACCATTTAAAATAATAGTAGTATCTGCTTTCCGGTATCTAATGTTTTAAACGTCAGAGTGGAAGAAATTTGCTGGACCAATATGCAACTTTATTTAAAGGACAAAGTTAATGATTCTTTGCATGCATACTTACTTTATTTGCCTCTGGTTGTTTTCTTTTTCCTATTAGGCTGATGATATAGACACTGGGAATTACAGTGCCATGCAGTACAGACTCATCATTCCTCCAATCAAGGATGGTAAAGAAGGTTTTGTGATTGAAGCTTACACAGGGCTAATAAAAACTGCTATGCTGTTCAAAAATATGAGAAGATCCTATTTCAAGTTTCAGGTCATTGCAACTGACAATTATGGAAAAGGACTGAGCAGCAAAGCAGAAGTACTTGTAAGTATGACCCGGGCATTATAATTATGGAATTATTCCTGAGGAAATTCAAACACTACATAAAGTTTAATTCCAGGCAGACCGATGGGCAGGCCATAAACTGTGTGTACTTAATATTTTTAAGTCATTGAAATAAAGTTGATTTTTTTTACACCAAAAGCATTTATGACCATCTGAAACACGTGTTGATGTTTCATGGCAGAGATAATGATCTCTGTTACCACACTAGTCCTGATGTTCAGTATTATATTTATGCAACAAGCCATTGCTAATGTTCAATTTAGATTCTAATTGTTTGCATTAAACAGGAACCTAAATTTTGTTCTGGACCCAGATGGCAGCAGAAAAAGTGCTGGGTTTGTGCATTAGAAATACAAAGCAGGTCACATCTGTATGATGTGACACAAGCGTTTACAGATCATGTCCACTTATTCTCTGAAGCAGCAGGGTGCAGCCAGCTCCTGTACCAAAGCTGTGAAGCAGGGTTAGCATGGGATTAGACCCCAGTTAATAAGCCAAGCTGAAGGCTTGCTAACTTGAGCTGTACTCTGTGTTCACATGACTTCCTAGCTTCTGCATTGGAGTTAGATCTGGTTTATCTTGCAGTGCAGGCAAAAATCTGAGCAAAGAGTCTCTGAAAGCTAGAAGTCAGTTGACTTACTGGAGAAAGCCAAGGTTGCCGTGTCTTAGTTGCTTATGTCTGGAAGGGAGATGGAATAATTCAGGGCTGAGACTGTACTTTAGGTTTTCAGGGAAGCAATGTTTCAAAAACAACACCAGCTTTAGGCCCTGAATTCATGTTTTTGTGTTGAGTAAAGGACATTGACTTAGTCCAGTCACAGAAACCATCAAGACTAAATTTCTTTAAAGCCTATGTAACTTGATGGATTGGATCAATATTAGCACAATGTTGTAGGGATAAAGTGCATTATCTAGTTCATGGGAACACTGTCAAATGATACAGATGATAGTCATAGCCATAGTACTTGGTGTATTGAGTTATGCAGGAATTCAGCGAATAAACATAATGTATGATGTCCTCATGCTTGACCTCCCAGAATGACAGGGCATTCTCATGCAATTTATGCAGTAATAGTATATTAAATGTAGCCAAAAGGTATTGACATCAAAATTAGAAAGTGAAGTATGTCTCATTAGTTTATAGAGGTATCTTTAGGTTGTCTTAGTGAGTGATGAGCACTCTGGTACAATGTTTTTGAGCAAGGCATGAAAGCTTAGGGTAACTGTAGATAAAATTACAGGCTGATACCATCCCACCATGAAAGTTTGCACTAAACGTGATCCATCCGTTCTAACTAGACTAAGATGTTCCTGGGCTTTATGATTGAACAGAATTTATCCTGCTGTTACTGTGATGTCAGCTGCTTAGACTGGGAGCTGTTACACCTTTCAATACAAGCTTAAGGAGTGCACATAGATAAGGGGAATGAGTTTAATTACTCACATGCAGAAGAATAAGATGTGGGGGAAGAAGATAGGATTGCACTGGGATGGCGTCTAGGGAGAAGAGGTGGAGCAACACCAGAGGGACAGTACTGCGAAGAACCTGAGCAGAGCAAGGTATCCTCCAGAACTGGGGCCAGGATATTTCCTCAGAGCCCTGGCACAGCTCTGTGAGCAGCATAAGCTGCCAGACCCGTGTTGTAGGGCATGGTCCAGGTGAAGGATACCAGTCTGTTCCTGCTGGATGGGACTGGAAGGATGGCTTAAATTTAGACATCTGTGGGTCTGCACTTTGGTTCCATGTGATGGAATTGCCCTTTTTAGCCTCTGTGAGACAAAAGAAATAAATAAGAAATTACATTTTAAAATAAGTTTTCTGCAAGTAAGCACTTAAAGATATTAAATAAGTGTGGATGGTGAATATTCACTATGATATCTTTAATCAAATGTTTGGGGAGTCACATGGCCCCTTCCTCATTCAGCTCTCAAAATAAACTACTGCCAGGAATCCATTGGTGCCATAAAATGATCAAGACTGTTTGTGGGCTCTGCCTTGCCGGATTTAAAAATTGGAAAGTGCCTAGTGAATGAAGCATGGGATCAAAGGGATGTTGATTATGGGCTAGTGATTGTCAACAATTATATTCTTTCCCTGCCTGCCTCTACTGCAAACTTCCAGTTTGTTGTCCTACTTATTTAATTCAACCTGGAACTTTCCTAGTTCTCAGCAAAGTATTCTTCAGTTACTTATGGACATGAGACATCTGAACATGCTGACTTCCAACCCTGTAATTTAGGCTGATTCCTGCTATTTAGCATCACAGGACCTGGCTGTATTTTTGCTCAGTAGACTGGAAGTAGCAAAAGCTTTCTAAGGAACGATGGGTCGGATGATCTCTGGTAACTGTGCCCCCAAAAGTTTCCAGAAAGCAGTAATGGTGGTGGCTCAGGAAGAGCTTTCCCACATCTTCCACCTCTGCTCCCAGCATGTTTCCATCTCTCCTTGAGTGGAAGGGAACAGTTTCTCCCCACAGCTTTTCTTACAATGTAGTTAAATTGAACTTAGTTCCTCAACTTAAAGCTATTTTTAATAATTGAAACATGAAGCCTGAATAGCAAGCAAGTTAATGTTACTACAGAAACCTTAACTTTTTCTTGATTTTTGTTCAACACTCTTGTTTTACTATAGCTAGTCAAGAATGTGTGTTTATTCATATTTTTGTGTATGAGCAAGTAGTCATAATTGTGATTCCTTGAACATCAATAGAACTATTGCGTTTTTTAAGTGTTGCATCTATGCAGTGCTCAGTACATAGGTGCACAGTCGTAGCTTGAATTGGCTAAGGTAGTTAATTCTATTAAACTGTTCATTGCTTTAGAGTTTCTTTCAATGATCTTAGTCTAAAATTTAAGTTCATTATAATTCTGTGTTTCTTACACAGAAGTCTGTACCTGCTGATCAGTGCTTCTGATGACATTTCAAGAACATTTAAATATTTAAAGTTGAATTAAGCATCAAAGCTGGTGAATCAGTGTTTGATGTGAAAATATATTATGGCTTATCTGCTGAAGTGCTTACAGGGCTCAGACTTCTTTTGAAAATCAGGAGTCATTTTTTCTTTTAGAATTGAATCGGCTAATTCTGATTTTTAAATTTATCAGGTTTAACGTTGTCCTGCTTTTCCAAATTTACCTCCAGAATCCTCTGTAGGGAGTATAGGTTTGGATTATAATGTTTGCTGTCATGCCTATATGGATAATGAACCAAATTTTAAGAAATGTTTTATTTTCTCCTACAGTATGGGAAGTAACTGTTCCTTTCACAACCTAAGGGGAGACTGGCTGTGCTAGTGAAGAGAGACCTATTACAAAATGCAGAAATATTTAAAAGGGAGGAAAAAGCATGCAATCATTTTACTGGAGGGCATGCCTTTTGTTAGGATAAAAATAGCTTGAGGAGACTAGATGACAGGATGTGAAGCAGAGTTTGCCAAATCTGCTGAATTTGATGCATGCGTGTAGTCACTTCTGCATGCTGACCATCCAACCTGTGGCTGAGAAACAGAAGAGTTACATTGCTTTTGTAGTAGAAAATGCTAATGTGAGAGAATTGTTCTGAGGTCAATTGTTCTTTCATGGAATCCTGGATTTTTTTATTTTTTTTTTAAACATAGCGCATGAGTATGTAGTGTATTAAAGAGGCATTTTTTTCCTGTCCTTTTATGTAAAAGTGCAATTGTAAAATGCACATTGTTATGCACAGTTTTACGCCATATAGAGAGGGAGAAGAAGGAGAAGTTGGAAATTAAAATGACTTACACTGATGACTTCAAAATAGATGAACAATTTCCTTTGTGATTTTCTAACAAATTATCATCTATTTAGTTGAATTAATCTGGTACTTGCATTTATGTTGGTGCAAACTGCATGTTTCCAAGGTTAGATTTTCCTGACAAGTCATCAAAAATACCAAAATGCTCATAAGTGATTTTGAACATGGCACATGGGAGATCCATGATTCTGTAAGTAAAGTCAAAACTGTGAAAAACAGGTTTTGTAGTCCCTCCTATAAAAATCTGTAATTCTGATGCAGTCCTGCAATTACAGTTCTAGTTAAATCTTTGCCTGCTGTTTATTGGTTTTGGCTGCCAAGCAAAGCAGATTTCCCAGTTCTCTTATTCCAAATTAAAATGAGAAATCTGTACATCAGAGCATGGCTACGAAGGCAGGAAAGTAATTATTTCATTCTTTTTGTATGGGGAGGATGTTATGCGTGGGAGTGTGAATTGAATTTCATTCTTTTGTTTCCAGGTCTCTGTGGTCAATCAGTTGGATATGCAAGTCATCGTCTCTAATGTTCCTCCCACCCTTGTGGAACAAAACAAAGATCAACTCATAGGGTAATAAATTTATTTACTCTACACATATCAGACATTCACTGGTTTTGTCTTTAGATTCAGCAAGGAGTGCTCCCTTTATGCCATGATCTATTTTTTTGCCAAAAGACTTGAAAATGAGCATGCAGATGATTTGGTGGGGAGCACAACTGGCTGAGTGACAGCACTGGCCCCTCCAAATCCACATTATGCTCTTCCTCTGGAGAAGGCAGAGGTGCAGTACTTCTTTGCTTGCACATTTGCCCACTTTGCAGGCTCAAACTAGGTTCAGAGTTGACCCTAATACAGATTGTAGTGGAACCTCCAGACACTGAGCACAGAACTTGCATCTGTCAAAATCTGAGATGTAAAATGAATAAAGTGCTTGTCCAAATGTTTGAGGCAGTGTGTCTCAGTGAGCTGTGTTGCTTCACTATGATTTATCTGGCTGATGTAGCTGTAAGGTAAAGCAGAATTTAGAAAATTTATGCTGGCACAATTAATACCACTAACATCACTACATAAAATTTTAATCACAAAAAATTGGTAACAGGGTGTCATTGTTCGGGCCTAGCAGGTACAAAATATTGTGATGAAGGGATGGGTAATTGGAAACATTAATGCTTTGCAATAACAGTGAAGTATTTTATCATACTGGCAGACAGCTAAAATCCCTTTTCATAAATTATGCTTTAGTAGAACTCATACACTACAATATCATCAGCTTCCAGGAGACAGATTTTCACTTTTAGCTTCTTTATTTAAGACAAGGGCACTTTTCTACACTTTGTGTCATTAGACATATAACCATGAATTAGACAATATGGGAAAAAAAATATATAGGAAATTGTTTAAAAACAATCTTTGTACTCTTCTTTCACTTTAATCAGTGACAAATGGTATTTCTCAGATTTCAATGGGTCTGTTCCATCCTGACTGTTGTCATACCTTTACTTCTCCACAGAAATTGAAATACATTAGGGTTGATGATGTATTCACCCACTGAAAAGGAAATGTGTTGTCTCTAAATGGCTCATGTCTTCATTAGACTAGGAAAAAGTATCAACAGATTTGCTTCTGTAGATTTAGGACAAGTTCCCATTTTCTCTCTCTGGTTTGAGCCAGGTGTATGTTGGCTCTGATAGATTGTTAATGTCAGAAACACTAATTAAGTTTTTCAGGCAGTAGTCTGTATTTACAGGGACTCCATTTCCTAGAGCTAAGAATAATAAAGGAGTCTGCTTGCTTAATACTTATGATCTAGCTTTCCAAAAGTGTCAGGTGTCGGTGTTGGCTGGAGAGGTGAAGAACAATGTCTCTTTTAGTGACAGTAGTAGGAAAAGTTTGCTTTGCCTATTGGTAAGCCTTCAAGTTCACTCCGTGTAGATCGTAGAATGCTTTGGGTTGGAAGGGACCTGTAAAGGTCATCTAGTCCAACCCCCACTGCAGTGAGCAGGGACATCTTCAACTGTCCTTAGCCATTCTACCTTTGCAAGCTTCCAGGGATGGGGCCTCCACTACCTCTCTGGGCAATCCATTCCAGTGTTTCACCACCCTCATGTAAAACATTTCTTCCTTATATCCAGTCTAAATCTACCCTCCCTTACTTTAAAACCCTTGCTCCTTGTCCTGTCACAACAGGCCATGCTGCACTCTGCAGAATTTTTCTTCACAGTAACTTATAGCCTTCCCAGGCTTCTGTTTTCTTGAGTGAAGAAGATGAACACATGTTCTGTACTATGTGTTTCTACATGAAGTAGCATAGATATCATGCTAAATTTGCCTTACATTGTGTTTGAGATCCTCCCAGTTTTGGACTGTCCTGGAGCCAAAGGAGCCACCAGCAAAATACAGATGGCTCTTACAGAAGGTGGTTTGAAAACGGGGTAGAACAAGTCTGGCTTGAATGAAGAGC